TATATATATATACATATACATATGCATGTATTTGCCGTCTTTTACTGTATGCGTGTGTGTGTACCACGTATTTTTGGCGTTATCTACTACGTCCCAGTTTTTCACCAAGGTACCAACCCTAACGCGTTCAACAATGGTACTCGCGCGACGACGCTTTTAAACCACAATTTTTCCTCATTCCCTTCCCCCACCCCCCCTTTTTTTTAAACTCCTTTTTTCCTTTTATTTTTAGAAAAACACAACGACATCTGCCGTTTGAGAAATGCTGCGCCTTTTTCTTTTTATTTTTTTCTTTTTGATTTTTTTTCCTTCGACAAAGCTCATCCTCGTGTAAAGCTTTAACGTAACACACGTGATACACACACATACACATATACAGACAATTCGAATGCGGGTAATGCAAGTAGAAGCTCTGCATCGTTTTCTCTGTAAATTTTGTAAAACACACGGCATGGTTCAACTCATTTTATTTTTGATTATATATATATATATATATGTATATTGTATGTATAAAGAACAAAATATTTTTATATGATTTGTTTAAAGTATATATGTTAAAAATGCATACGCTCGTTGTATGTAAAATATACTTATATACATATATGTACAATATACAGGGTGATCTGTAACTGGTGGTACAAGCGAAAAGGGGGTGATTCTACGTGAAAAAATAAATCGAAAATATAAAATAACAATTTTTCGATTGAGGCTTTGTTTTCGAGAAAATCGACTTTGAATTTTCGCAAAGTACGTGTGCACTTGATCATGTCTCGTTATAATGGACCTACGAACTTTTCATATAAGAATAACCTATATACATATATAGGTTAATTCCGAAAAGTTCGTAGGGTATTTCCGAAAAGTTCGTAGGTCCGTTATAAGGAGACATGATCAAGTGCATCATAAGTCGCAGGGTTGCGAAAATTCAAAGTCGATTTTCTCGAAAACAAAGCTTAAAACGAAAAATTATTATTTTATATTTTCGATTTACTTTTTCATCTAGAATCACCCCCTTTTCGCTTGTACCACCAGTTACAGATCACCCTGTACATAGGTTAGTTTGCAACACTTGTTGATTACGAACAAATACTAACAAATTCATGAAGTTATTTAATTCATCAAGCTATCGATTATGAGAATAATCGATATCTGTGACTGAAATATACTTGGCTATTTCCAATGATTATTTTGATTGAGAAAATATAACCTAAAATATTTTAATGATCGTAGTATCTAATTGGTAAGTTCAAATTTTTAATAGAAAAGCTTTTTTCATACTTTACTACAATTGTTAATTATTATAGAAATTATTTCTAATAACATACAAATAATTTATATAAAGGTAATTAAAATAATTTAATTCTAACCTTTATTTTTAATTTATTCGTATAATGCAAAAATTGTTTGAAATACGTCAATTATTTTTTTCTTATAAAATGTTACTGATTTTTCTTTTTCAATTATTTTCATTTTTTTTTTTTTTCAAATTTTGTATCTTACCTTTTTCCATTTATTTTCTTCCTTTCTCCCCACCCCTCTCTCTTGTCACATGTTATCTCATTCATTTCTTTCCTACGCCATCTTTTTTTTATATACGTAAGATATAACGCAGGATGATTTATGTTTCTATAGTAAACACAGATAAGAATTTTATGATTTTCCAGATGCATTGATGACTAACAATAGGTCAGCAACAATTGTGCACACCTATTAAAAAAAAAAAAAAGGGAAAGTTTCAATTCTTAAGGTTATCTTCTTTATAGTTTTTTTTTTTTTTTGAATTTTCATGAAATGTATCACAGATTGAGAATAGAGATGATCTTTATGTATTTTATTTTTATTTTTATTTTGAAATATCTTTTCAGTAACGAAAGATATTACTTCTAACAATTTAACAATAAATCATACACGGATAATTTGTGTGCTTTAGAAGAAACGGAGAGGGATAGGAGGGTTTGCACATTTTTCATAATCTGCGCCATTTTAATTAACATGTTTTCCTGGTTTTTCTTTTTTTTTTATTATTCAAATAAATTTAAACTCCAAGCATTTTTCACTCGAAACAATAAAATTTATATATTTATATTTATTTTTATATTTATTTTTACAATTGGAATGTAAATCGAACATACCAATTTGTTAATAGTACAAAAAAAAAAAAGAGAAAGCAAATAAACGTATTTAAAATAATTGTTAAATTGTTATTCGTAAGCACACATTGCAAAGTACATTTTTTTTTTTAAATCAAATGTAATTTGCAATGTGTAAAAATTCAATCAAAAAATAATTTTAATATTCACTATTCTTTTATAATGATTATTTTATAGCATTTATTATTATTATCATCATCATCATTATAAAAACATTAACGTTTATGATAAATTTCACTTTCTTATATTAAATAATGACTGATATTTATAAAGTCATTATATACCGTGTTTATTAAAATAGAAGAAAGCTGGTAAGAGCTTACGAATTTCTTTCTCTCTCTCTCTCCTTCTCTCTCTCCCTCTCTCTCTCTCTCTCTCCTTCTCTCTCTCCCTCTCTCTCTCTCTCTCTCTCTTTCTAACTTGAAACGTATAACGGTGTGAGCGTCATTTTCTCCCACTATACCGAGAAACAGGTATATACTATAGTAGTAGGGGTAAAGCCAATAAGATACGAGCTCGGTATTTTCCAGTCGGCCAGGTAGTTTATTCCTAATCGTTCTCCTCCTCCCCCCCTTACCTCCCTTTTCGGAACAGTTAACCTTCCCCCTCCTACCCCTCTTGAAAAAAAAGATAGACAAATTTACCGACTTACGTTACTTTTCCAGAAATATTCTCCTTCGACAATATTTTCATGTGAGTATAAGAAAATTAAAAAAAAAAAAAAAAAAAAAATACTAGTTTATTATCAACCTCGTACTTTTACCTTCTTCCCCCCTCCCCAACCACCCCCCTCCTTATACTTCAGGATGTGATATGTGTGATTTCCATGTGTAATATGTTACCGGCAATGTAAATTGATAATGAAATATGAGAATTTTTATATACTTTCACTAGGTATTGTATAGAATGACAAATGTATTATTTAGGTAAAGTATGAACAAAAAAAAGGTTTTGATATGGTTGCTTTAAATGCCGTGCATTTTATAAAAATATGAATGTTATATTTTTAAAAAATAATATTTAAATTATTAAATATACAATATATAAATATAATGATAAATATAATATACAATAATAATAATAATAATAGTAATATATAAATATATAAATAATAAAATATAAAAATACAAATATTATATTCTATAAAAATAATGATAGAAGTTATATTAAAAACAAATTAGAGATCTATTTCATACATTGCCCGCTAGCTTTTTCAGGCATTATATATAATACCTAGGCATTCTATAGAATATCGGATCTCAAACTTTGCTGATAACATATATAAAAAAAAAATTTTAAAAAAAATAAAAAAAGAAGAAATACATCTGTAAATACACTGTAATACACTGTAAAAAAATTATTTATTAAATAACCCTGAAACAATTTCAAATGTTAATAAAACCAACCAAACCAACCAAGACGAGTTAGCAAGATATACTTTTGTATATATAATAAGAATAAGAAGAAAGTTACAATGAAGTAGATACTAATAGTAACAATAACATTAGTAATAGTAATAGTAATAGTTGTTGTTATTGTACCATACAAGATGGTGTGTGCGAAATAAAACCAACTGACGACTAACGACTGACGACTGACGACTGGTTGCTTGCTTGCTTGCTTGCTTGCTTTTGCCTTTAGTTAGAAAGAAGGAGAAAATAAGAAACTCCTCTTTTGCTCCATGCTCTCCTCTCTGCTAGGTGGTCTTCCCGGTTCAGCCTGAACAACCCAACAGACCGCAGTTGAGCGCGCGACGTAGTCGAGTGCGGTAGTGGTAGACGTTTGCTATCGTCGTGTTGATTGGATTTTTTTTTTTTATTTGGGTTGGTTGTTTGTTAATTAGTTAATAAACATCATCTAACCCATAATATTAACTTTGGTTATATTATTTAAACATTGTGTAATACATTTATTTACATACATATATATATCACACATATAAATTATTTATTTCGTATATATGTGTATATATATATATGATGTTCGTGTATAGGTGTATTCGTGATCAACGTGTATTTTCCCCTCTCATTGTATTATTCCCTACCATTGTGTTATCTTTTTTTCTCATTCGTACGTTAACGAAACAACCGCCGGTGCCGTTCCTTTCCAACGAACTTTACCACCCTGTATCCTTGCTGGATACAACCGTGACGACGACCAACGTGTTATCATCGTTGTTGTTGTTCTTGTTTCCTGTACAACTAGGAATAACTGGACTTTCAACGATTTGAAATACATATACACACATATACTTCCAAGAAGATTGAAAATAAAGAAGAAATTTTTCAAATAAAAATAACAAAATCTATCCAAAAGAGAGAAACCTTCGAAGAAGAAAAAGAAGAAGAAGAAGAAGAGAAAGTTTGAGAAATAAAAGGAAAGAAGAGAAAAAAAAGGTTCGTACAGGGAACAGGGGAGAGGGGAAAAAAGGACGCTTTTATAGTCCCAAAAAGACAGGGGGGAGGAGGAGGGGAAGTTCCTCTTCTACTTCTTCGTGTAAAAGTTAACAGGGGTGGGGAGAGGACAAAAATATTAGGAGAGAGAGAAATTTAGAAGTTAGTATAAGTATAGTGATCTAAGAGTGTTACACTGTGGACTAAGACGAAATAACTCGTGCTCTCACCTTTTATATATCATAAAAGGTATATATATATATATATATTTTTTTTTACGTTTTATTTTATTTGTTTGAGTATCAAACATTTTTTGTTTTTTTATTAATTTTTATCTCATTTTGTGAGTGTTCTGCTGTTGTTGCGCATTCCTACCTTTCTTTATCTGAATACTGTACCTTTTCTTTTTTTTTTTTTTTTTCTAAACACTCTATATTATCTGTTGTTTTCTTGAACCGTTCTCTTTTTTCAAACGGAAACATCTCCTCGAATTACTGGTGTGTTGTGTGTATGTGTGTGTGTGTGTGTTCGTTCGTTCGTGAGAAAAGGAAACTATGAACAACTGCGTCGTCGTCCTGACGACGACGCTTCTTTTTTCGTTCAACCGTGTGCAAGAAAAGAAATTGGACAACAACTACTATTACTACTACTACTACTATTACGACACGACAACCTTAAACAAAAATAATAATAATAATAATAATAACGTTGAACGATATTTTTTTGTTCACTAAATTTTTCATATTTTTATTGCAATAACAAAAGCAACGTTTTAGTGTCTCAATTTTTCTTCTTGTATTTTTCTTTCGTCATTTTTGGTTGGTTAGAAAGAGGGGTTTTTTTCTTTTTCTTTTTTTTTTTTTTTTCAAAACAACGTGCGTATCGCCTCATCTATAACCTTAAAAAAAAAAACAAAATACTACGAGGGACTTAAAAATGATTGAAATAGGTAAGAACGCAAAACTTTTTCTTTTCTTTTTTTTTTCTCTCGAAACAGTTGTTTCTCTTCTCCACACATTATTTTTTTGCAATTTGAAAAAAAATGCACGAGTGTTGTATAGTAGATATAGTTGTGTAGTAGTAGTAGTAGTAGTAGTAGTGACGTAATTCATCTTCCACGAAAGGATTACGCTGTGATTCGTAATTTATCATATTATGTTAGCAATTTTAACAAGAACGATAAATATCTCTTCGTAAAACCACCAACCAACTTTTTTCCTCATATATATATATATATACAATATATTTCAATAGAAAATAGTTAATTACTATATGATTTAAAAGATAAGATAACGAGATAAAAAATATGATGTTTTAACGTTTAACACGTTGAACGTAAGGTGAATTCTTAGAAAAATTCTTGTCAGGCCACAGGCGTTACTTTGTATTGAAAAAATATGAACGTGTCAGTCACTTATGACTGACGTGGCCTAAACGTAATGTCTAGTGTCAGTCACCGATGACTGACGTGGCCCTCAACGTGTTAAAACTTAAACACACTGCACAATTTTTTTTTTCAATCTTGTGTTTCTACAGTTATTAGTATTCTTTTTTCTTCGTGATAAAAAACTAGTTTTTGATAAAGACAAAAAAAAATGAAACAGCTTACGAGTAATCTATGTCAGATAACGATAGAACAATTGAGATTTAGAAAAAGAGAGAGAGAGAGAGAGAGAGAGAAAATAGCTAAACGTTAGGTCACGTTTCCTTTTGTTCGATCTTTTATCGCTTTCGTTGTTGCTGACGCATGTGTCTAGATTGCTACCCGATTCTTCTTTATATATTCGTGTTCTTTCCCAACCTACCCCTTTCGTCTCCTTCTTCCCCTTTTTTTTTCTTTTTACGAAAGTTTCCCTCTTGTGGTTTGTTTTGCCAAGTGGATTTTCTGTTTCCGCATATTTTTCGTATTTCTTTTTTTTTTTTTTTTGATTTATGAACGACGATTATAAAAATATTTGAACCCGATTAATTTTATTATCTTGAAAATCTTTTGGTTTGTTATTTTTGTGTGTGATAAGCTATTTATATATATATATATATATATATATATATATATATATATATATATATATTTTATTATTGCTGTAATAATAATATTTTAATTTAATATAATATATTATTTTAATATTAATTTAATGTATAACATTTTATTATATATTAAATTTATTTTTAATTAAGTAACATATATATATATATATATATATATTTAATTAAATATACCGAAAAAAGAAAAACAATATTTTGAAATATGTTTCTAGGTTATATTCTCGAGAGCAAATGTTATCTAGTGACTTTTACGATTACATTGTATTGCTTGAGTATTTTTTTAAGGTTTAAGGTTATCACCATATGAGTAATATAAATAAACGCTGTTTATTATATTGACACATTCAAAAAAATAGAAAAATGTATACATTTATATTTATTATTATTATTATTATTATTATGATTAGTGGGAGAGAGATAGACGAGACATTATTCGAGAAAATAGTCGAATTATTGAAATGTCATTTGTGTTTTGTCTGTCTCTTACTTTCTGTCGTTTATTTTCTTTCTTTGTGGAAAGAGCAAAAACCGGTTAGTTTTTTTTTTTTGTTTTTTTTTTTTATTTGTCGAATATCCCGCGTTCAGCAGAGAATAGAAGAAGACAAGGACTTTTCGAGTTCTTGTCGAAGAAGTTCCTTGAAAGTGAAGTTTCACACTACCCAAGGAGAACCAGAGAGAAGCTACCTTCTTCTTCTTCTCCTAGGTGCAGTTTGTAATTAACAACGAAACTAACTGCCATAGTCTACTTCTTCGTCCTTCATGTTGTCCTTCTTCTTCTTATTCTTCTTTTTATTCTTCTTCTTCTTCATCTATTACTCGTTGTCTTCACTTATTCCGTGCAACTTCGTTTTTAAAGATTTCATTAGAAGAACAAAAATTAAGAAAATGAAAGAAAAAATGTCCTGCTGGTTTCGTTTCGTTTCGTTTCGTTTCGTTTCGTTTCGTTTCGTTTTGAAGAAACTTTTGTGTGTCGTCCGTCCGTTTAAGATAAATTCTTTTTCTCCGGTTGTCAGACCGTTAATCCTAAAGTTGAATGACTTACCTAGACGTGTCTTATCGTTTTGCGAATTCTTTCTTGCTACCTTTACACAAGGACAAATATATATATATGTGTGTGTGTGTGTGTGTGTGTGTGTGTATTCTATACAAATAAAATTTTTCACGATTATTTTACGTTGTGTTTGTCTGTCTACTATCCTGTTTGTGTTTATATACGTGTGTATGTGTGGTGTGACAAGTAGACGAGTTTAAAAATAAATTGTTCTAGATTTGATTATTTTCTTTGACAAAAATACTATGAATTTCTATCTCCTTTATTGGAATTTTTCTTTTGGACGAAAATATTTCTTTTTATCGATTTTCAATTGGAAATTTTAAGATAATAATATTTGTATTTTAATTTAATATTTAATTAATATCACATTAATATCGGATTACTGAAGAATAACCATAAGTGAATGTATATTGTTGCATTCTCGTTTTGTTTTTTGTCTTTTTTTTTTTTCATTATTTTTACAGATACGTTTTTGTTTGTTACAAATTATTCAATGAATATTTTTCGTTCATTCATTCATTCATTTTTGTTTCGTCATTCAGAAGTAAGTTTTTCATTCATATATCCTTTGTTCTTTGATTTCGTCATTTTTATTTATTTAATTTTATAAATATTACATCATTGGTATATTTTTATTTGTTATATCAATTTATTTTTATATTTTATTTAATGTTTTATATCAACTCTGGGACAATTATTTTTTTTTCTTGAAATACAATTTTATCGATCAATACAACAAAAGAGTATTAAAAACAATATCTATATATACATATATTAATAGGTAATAAAAAATATATTTAAATATTTTATAAATAGTTAAGAATGTTACATGAATATATTAAACATTTTTTCTTATGATTTTGTCACTTTTTTTTTTTATTTAATTTTATAAATATATTACATTGTTATATCAATTTAATTTTATTATATTTTATTTAAATTTTATATCAACTCTGTATTGAATCTCAAACTAGTATCAACAATGTATTAAATATTTGTCCTTTTATTAAACTACGAGAATTCGTATGAAATTGAATTAAAAAATTTTCCACAAAAAAATCTTACTTTCTCAAACATTTACCTTTCTATTATTCTCTCTCTCTCTCTCATTCTCTCATTCTGCGAGAAAAAGAGAGAGAAAGAGAGAGAGAGAGAGAGACTAAGAACATAATACCCACAGCAGTTTTATTTCAAAACATTACCACCGATCGTTTCACCGTGTCATTTTCTTTCCCATTTAAGGGAAACTCAAGGTAAACTTATACCTCGAGCGCATATACGGGCGTCGTCATATTTGTTCTTTTACTTCGGTTCTAATATATACCAATGAATAAAAATTAGTAAATGTAGACAAAAAGAAAAACAAAATAAGAAACAAAAAGAAAAAGATTAATGAAAAAGAAAGTATAGAACATAATATAACAAAAAATATATCTATTATTCTTACAATAAACGTAGTATAAGTATAATTAACCTACATGAGAATGATGTTATTACGTATACGTATGTGTATATATGTATATACGTATATACAGTGTGTGTGGTCTTATCAATTATGTTTATAGGACACTGAAAGAGACATATAATATACTCATGAAAAACTTATCGTTATATCATAATGAACCATTACTAAATATACACATATATACACATATATACACATATATACACATATATTAATACTAAATTATATATATATATAATTTAATAGTAAATATACTATAAAATATTTTACTATATATTATTAATATTATAAAATACTATTTTTTTAATAATATAATTTAGTAATACTTTATTAACAATAATAATTAATATTAGTAATACTGAATTATATTATTTAATAATACTATACTCTATAGAATATTAATATTATACTATTAATTAAAATACTATTTTTAATAATATAATTTTGTAGTACTAAATTAACTTAGTAATACTTTATTAATAATAATAATAATTAATATTAGTAATACTAAATTATATTATTTAATAATACTATCCTATAGAATATTAATATTATACCAATAATATTAAATTATTTTATTATATAATTAATTATATTTATTATAGGTAATTTAATTTAATATACTAAGTTATATTATTATAATTATTATATGAATATATAAATAAATATAATAATAAATATTAT